TCCAGCTGCACTTCTTCAACGATCTGCTACTCGCTTCAGCCGGTCTGTGCGCCGCCGTTTACAACAAGACGAGCCTCATCCCAACTGACTGCAAACAATTCCTCCGCTTGGTTTTCCAAGGAGTAGGTCGTTTCTTCGCCATCCTTTGCCAGTTCTCTGCCTATCGATACCTTCCTCCTGCCAACGCCGAAATCGTGATGGGCCCCAGCGGAATAGTCTTAACTGCGATTCTTTCTCTCATTTTTCTTCAAGAGGTAAGTCGAAAATCTGCCTTAAAACTGACAGGAAAACAACAAAATGAATGACAAAATTCTTGAGGAATTCGTTTTCATTCCCAAATCCTCGTTTTTTTAAATCTTTGCAGTGTTTAAATGTCGTTTCTGTTATGATTTCAGATACCCACCCATGCTACCATATTTGGGAGCTTATGGTGCATAGCAGGTGTTGTACTAATTGGTTATAGCGGCATGATCAACGAGATCCCCTCCACGACTGTCGACTCGGACAATGTTGGTCTAGGAATGACACTTTCCCTCGTCACAGCACTCTTATTCGCTATGTTGAGCGTTGACGTTAAAGGCCTCCTTGGCCATCCGGCACCACGACAACGATGGTTTTATCATACGCTTACAGTATACCTACAGTGTTGGCAGGCTTAACGTCTATCTTCACGAGTAAAACGTGGCTCCTTGAGCCAACAAGTGCCGCAGTCTTGTGTGCAGGCCTTTTAGGTAAGTTCGGAGGAACCGTGCTCCTATACGCTGGCCTGAAGCTGATTGAGGTCAATGCTGCAACTGCCCTGCAGCAAGTCAACGCGTTTTCGGGCTTCGGGCTGCAGTGGGCGATGATCGGTTTTGTTCCGACTATTTTTGATGGTTTTGGTCTGACGTGTATATTCATAGGAACGTGTTCTATTGTTATATGGGAGGCGCTAGTCCGTCGGAAGAAAGAGAAGCATGTTAGAATCATGGAACAATTCAAGTTCACTCTCACACATCCGGACAATGACTCGTAGACTAAAGAGCGTGCCAACTATGTGTTGACTATGTGAAATTATTCAGCAGCATGATATATACAATTTTAACGTTGTACAATGATTTTGGTCTGACGTGCATATTCATAGGAACATTTTCTCTTGTATCGTCATATACTTATCTCGGCATTATTGTGAACTCAGCCGGCACGTTTAAAGCAAATAATAAGTACTTGAGTTGCAAGGGTTTGAAAGCTTTATTCGGAATTAAACAGTCACTAGATCAAGCCAACGCCTCACTATCAGTTAAAAACAAACTTTTACGACGCATGTGTAAAACCTGTTTTACTTTACGGCTCAGAAATTTGGGGCTCAGCCAAAAGCCCTAGGTTCTGCCCCATTGAATCCGTCCACCTTAAATTTTGTAAACAGTCTCTGAACGTTCCTAGATCAGCCTGTAACCTTGCATCAAGGGCGGAACTAGGGAGGTACCCAATGCACCTGGAGGCCTCCCTAAATGCCATTAAGTATTTCCTTCGTATACGCCAAAACGTGCCAGCTGACAGTCTGCAAGCGGACGCCCTCTCATGTCAACTACAACTAGAGACTAGCGGCAATAAATGCTGGGCGTCCGGTATTCGTAAAACTTTGCAGGAATGCGGTTTTGCTTACGTATGGCGACCTGATATATCTCTTAGCACAAACCTATCACCAATAATTAACTCCATCAGCCAACGATTGAAAGATATTTACACCCAAACATTTATCACTGAAATGCACAATGACCATAACAGAGGTACATCTTCTAGTAACAAGTTACGAACGTACCGTTTGTTTAAAACTATATATAAAGAAGAAGAGTACCTATCGGTTAACAACATACAACACAGGATAGCTGCAACAAAACTCCGAATAAGTTGCCACAAATTACTCATAGAAACGGGACGGCACAACCGCATTCCTCTCCAGAACAGACTCTGTCAATATTGTAATATGAATAGAATAGAAGATGAACAACACTTTATTTTAGACTGTACTTTATATTCTAATGAAAGATCTGTCCTTTTTAATTATATCAAAGAGAAGTTCCCATACTTTGAACACCTAAGCGCAAATGATAAATTTATATTTTTGATGCGTCTAGACAAACCCTGTATCACAAACATGATCTGCTCCCACATTTTTCACTGTACAAAAAAGCGAGAAGAAGTTGACCTGTCTGTATTAGCTCAGTGACTAGAACACTATGTATTAGCCTAGTATAGTACCCTTGTATGTTCCTTATGTATGTATGTATAAGTCAAGTAGTGCATCTTTTGTCTCCAATCTTCTATATACGTTTGTTATGTGTCTGTCATACTCAGTATCTTGACCTGTACCTAGCCCGTCGTGGCATGAATGTACAATAAAGGTATTTCATTATATGGGAGGCGCTAGTCACAAATAAGACAAACCAAGGAGATTAAATAGAAGAGGCCTCTTGTATTAAACCTCCTTTGACAAACATAGCAGATTGTTGAAACATCTGGACTTCAATGTCACATCACCGAATGATTGCAGTGTGCTATTGTGTTCTAACGAAAATCACACAAGTTTCATTAAAGATGTGCCACTGCTTCCAAGTCAAACCCCACATTTAATAAAGTTGATAGAGAACCTTACTAGAGACTGGCCAGCAACGTACACTATGTAGTGTAACCCTTATAGTATATCTACATTTATAAATGTATACAATTAGACATGTATAATGTTTTGTTATGTATCTTTATGTACATTATGACTTACCCATGGGCAGGAGTTTGCAATATACTAAACCCCACAGTTTGTGTGTGCGTGCATGCGCATGTTAAATTTGTGTGTGCACACCCGTGTGTATGTGAACAACCAGCCCAAGGAAAGACAAGTACATGTATTGACAAATATACTACTAATCTGAGTTGTCATGGTTTAATTCATCTCACTTCAAATGCATTATGTACATTCAGCTTCCTTTTAGGAAGAACTATCCTAAGAGAAGTTTTAAAGGATCATTAAGATGACAAATGTCACAGTATCAGTTGCACAACTGAGCAATCAGTCGCATTTCCTATGCCAGGCAATGTTTACATTTTAGCTATGTGAAATTATTTAGGTGGATGATATCATACAGCTTTGCAGTCACAGAATCTTCTAGACTTTAAACAGATACATGCCATCAACTATCTGCAACAAATTTATTATACAATTCATATATATTTCGACTTTTCTTTTACATGGTGTTTTCAGCCAGTAAGTTACATTCTGAATACAATAGCTGAGGACTAGACAATATATTGATATGTTGTACATTTTGGATTTCACACATTTGTTAAATGAATGTACAATGTAGAGAATTTGTGTTATACACTGTATATCCCTCAGAATTTCATAATCAAAAACGAATATGAGAAAATGCTTGACCCTCACATTCAAAACGAACAATACTTGTTGCATACATGTGTTGTTATAAAACACATGTAGCTATTAAGGAATGATAGTATTGACCGATCACAAGTGACATACAATGTAGAATAAGAATCGTCTGTTCAGGCTTGTTTTTTTCAAGGAGTTTTACCTTAACTAGTTTATTCTCAATCTCTTTCCAGACAACACATGTATATTTTCCATGTCATACCTGTCATTCCCAGGTTATTTGATAGAATCTAGTTGCTAATGACAGATCCATTGATTTGACTAGCTGATAGAAAAACAGTGTCTAACACTAGGGGAATAACCCTGCAACATACAGTTTAGCTTCTGCAGATGACTTAAATCACTTAAATCATTTCACAGTGTGAACATCTCTCTAGAGCCTAGCCTGCTGCCTACTGTTGGACATGTCCCTCAGTTTGTAGAGCATCGCGACACTTTTGTCAAAATGTGGCTGCAGTTTCTCTCTGACACGGTCCATCCAGGCCCGGAGCTTGGGTCTGCCTTTGGTGACGTCACGGCCTGAAGCCAGGCACTGCATCAGTTCGTTGATCTGTAAGGGGGAGGGAGCACAGATGAGATGTTGTATTGGATTTTTCTAGAGATAAAATTTGTATGCATTGAAGGAATCATACAGGGCTTGAAATACCACCTGTATAACAGCAGCATATGCAGGTATGTGCAGGTAAAATTGGAGCTAGGCAGGTATATCTAATGTCTACCTGAACCTATAATATATATCTATAGATATTTATCAGCTGTATTGACTGTTACCACCTATACAGTATAAAAGAAATACTGGCAAAGGTTTCTGAACAGCTTTTACTTCCTAAATTCTGAGTGGTGCAGGTGATATTGTCTGCTGAAGGTAATTTTCAATGTATGCAGAAAAAAGCATACTTAGAAGCTGGTTGTTGACACTCAAACTAAGAGTACTGTTAGGATATCATAAACATTATGTCTGAGACTCACGGCCAGTAGGTCAGCGATAGTGATGTTGTCCCCACAGAGAAACGGCTGGTCCTTCAGGAACATCTTCTGCAGCATGTCCAGAGTGGCGTTCAGCTCAGACTCAGCCTTGTCCAGGGTAGCTTTGTCCAGTGGCTGGCCTGTCATCTGGGGCACCATAAACTGTAGAACAGGTCAGCAACATCCTAAAAAAAAGATTGACTTACCAATCCCCTGATTTTTCCAAACCATGCCTTTTGCCTCATACCCATTCTTGTAATACATAACATAAAGTTAGGCCACACCAATTTAATTTGTTGGTTCTCGGATTCACCTCTTCATTTTTTTCTGATTTGCCAAAAAAAAAAAGATTCTGGTTCTGAATCAACTCAAAAATGCTCATATTTTGCCCCCAACAGTGGTGGAAAGTCCTTTTCTTCCTAGCTGTTGCAGTGTTTCCATCTATCAATGCAGTGGTTTGATTAAAAGTTCAGAATTCATTGTTTAAATATTAACACAACCTTTTGTGT